TTGAGCCTCTGCCTTCAGCTCAGGTCATGATCCCAGGGTCCTGGGATCAGGCCCCACATTGGGCTCTCTGCTGGGCAGGGAGCCTGCTTCCTCCTCTCTCCCTGCCTGCCTCTCTGCCTACTTGTGATCTCTCTCTGTGTCAAATAAATAAATAAAATCTTTAAATTAAAAAAAAAAAAAATATATATATATATATATATCTGAGGAAAGGATTTTCCGAGAAATGGAATAGCAAATACAAAGACTGAGAGGAACAAATTTAGCAAGCTCACCAAAGACTGGAGAGTTCAGTACCATCAGGTAGAGAAAGCAAGAGGAGGGGAGGCAGGAAACAAGGTAGGGGAGGTAGCCAGAGACTGAGGGCTGTTTTAATAACCTTTGTGTCTCCAGGCTTAGCAGAGGCTTTCCCCGAAGCCCTGTGATCCACCAGGCAGCTGAATCTGTGTCTCAGTTAAGTATCTGGATGTGACCAACAATGGTCACATCCAGATACTTAACTGCTTATCTAAATTGCAATAGAGGAAGAGAAACCAGCATGTCGAGAGACTGAGTGGTTTGTCTCAGAGCTTTCCACCGCTCCCCTCATTCTCTCACCATCCCTAAAGACAGGACAGATTTATTGTCTCCATTACAGAAGCAAGCAGCGGATGCACCACCCCAGTCACAGGGCTAGATGGAATGACGGAGCTCCTGCCCCTGCTTCAGCCTATGGGCTTTCATTCTCATGAATTCTTACTCTGGATAATCTCATCCTCCTCAAGCCCAGAAAGCTTGCTTACTTTGTAAAGACAATTATTTTATAACCATAAAACCCCATGGTCATTTGCACATCTTTCAAATGTTAGCTGAATCATGTAACCTGTATCTAGATTACTTATGATATTGTTAAAAAGATCGAGAAATTAATCTTCCATCAACCTTAAAGTTTTTCTTTAGTAAAAAATAAAAATCAGATGGGTTTTAACATCTGTTACCCAAATAAAAATACGAGTTAGTTCTAAATAAGCATTAGGTTCTATCAAGTCTAATAATATTTTTCCAAAATCAGGGTGGAGGAGATATTCATTAACTCATTCCCCAGCCGTTTTGGTTTTTTTTTAAGATTTTATTTATTTATTTGACAGAGAGAGAGAGAGAGCACAAGCAGGGGGAGTGGGAGAGGGAGAAGGAGAGAGAGAGCCCAATGTGGGGCTCGATCCCAGGACCCTGAGATCATGACCTGAGCTAAAGGCAGACGCTTAACTGACTGAGCCACCCAGGCGCACCCCTGCACCCCCAGCCATTCTAGTGATGAATGACTGATCATTACCAGGGCCTTGATGATTTGGGGACACATCTGACTCCCTATGGCTTTCAATTTTTGTTCATAGTTTACCTTCTGAAGCCACCCTGAGCCATCTATCCCTTTTCTCTCACCTTGACACCACATGTCCCTATTGCCCTCTGCTCATAAGCAGGCATCCTCTGAGCTCTCTCCAGATGCCGGTTTCTGGGCTCTTCAGCTTCCAGCCTGCTGCTCTGCTGTGGTTCATCAACAAGTAGTTCCATTAAACGTGGTGCCAAGGATTAAAAATGATTACACTTGTGCTGTCTCACCAGCACGGAGACGGGCTATTGAAGCTGTTTTCACTGTTTCTTCCTCATTAGGTAGTGTCTTTTTTATCCACCCCCCACCCCCACCCCCGCCCAACCACCACCCTCTGGCTCCTTGCTTGCCATGGTCCTTACTATTTGTGGATAACATCTAGTGATTTCCCTGCTCCCTTTCCCGAAAATGTAAACAGGCTCAGTGTTCGGTCCCTGATCTTCTATTTTCATGCCTCATATCACCTTTGTTCCCCATCTTGAAGCTTTCTCTTTGGGCCTGTGTTTTTCTTTAAGTGTGTGGCGTTTGCTACAGTGATCAATTATCCTAGGTAATTGCTCCTCATTTGAGCATCCCTATTCTTTCTCATTAAAGACCAGACAAGATTACTGCCTCTCATTGACCAGGTGCGCCAGATCTCTTACTTGGCCTCAATTTGCCATTTGGCAGTTTAGGACTGAAACAGAGACAGAAGTAAAACCAAGGAATCACTGAGGTAGTAATTAGTTAAGGTTTATTGTGCACACACCAAAAAAAGGCAGTTTGCAAACTGGGAGCCCTGAAACCAAAACATAAGCTTGAGACTCAGAGAATTTTGTTATAAAGCAGCTTAGGGAGCTCAGAGGGAGGGACGGTTAATTCTTCACAGGGATTGGTAACAACATTAGAATTTTCTTCAATGAAAGTGAATTGGTTAGTGGTAACCTCCTATCAGTTTGGGGGAAGAATTTAAGTTTCAGTTATGATGTTCAGAGGCATAAGCGTGATGTGACCCAGGTCGTTAGCCTCATTTGTCATGCAAAATAAGCTAAATTAAGCTTTGCTTGTATGACTAAACTGGCTTTTGTCTGGCTTAGGAAATTTTCAAGTCTGGTCTCTGTGTGCATTTGATTTGAGCAGTGCTTTCAAGCTCATTCACTGAGGGGCCTTGTGCTTGCTCAGTGGACAGCTGGCTCCTCTGTTCTGTGCCCTCCCTGCAGTGACACACTGATGCCCCCCACCAACCAGCTCATTCTTCTGGGGGCCTCCCAGGGATCTGCTAACCATGCAAGAGGGAACACTTCTGTTTGTTGTTGTTGTTATCATTCACCGTTACAAACCCAGTTAAGCTTTCTCTCCTAGTTTCCAGGTATCTCGGGAAGGATGGTCTCCTTTGTCTTTCTGAGTTTGTAAAATGAGCTAATGTCCCCTTCTCACCACGTCTCAGCTACGCTGGGCCCTTTAAGCTCCTCTAGGCGGTGCCTCGTGTCTTGGTTCACATTATTGGCCACTGTTAGAAATGTGATTTCTTCTTGCTTATCAGACACATCCCCTAAAAATACACATGTTAACAGTGCCTGTGCTGCATATTTAAGAATTCAGATGAGTCAAAAGTGGGCATTCAGGGAGAGGACACTCTGGACTGCTAACTTAAAATTCCAGTCAGCAACCCTTTGGAGATGTAAATTGAGGAAGCAGCCCTCCTTTTGGACAGCTTAATGATCTGTAGTTAATAGTAAGAGGCTGCTGGGCAGATGCCATACAGCTGGGCTTACGTTAGCCTCTCTCAGCTCTCCAAATTACCCCATGATTACAGCCATTGAGATTCAGCATCCTACCCGGGATTCTGTACCCAAAAGCACGAAGATCTGGCGGTGGCTTGTCACTGTGGCCTTTCTCTGCACACCGTCCTGCCCAAGCCGGGGACTGGTGCCTCCTCCCCGGTCCTCCTTCAGGCCGAGCCATCACCTGCACCGGCATTAGCTCCCCAACAAGTCTGGGATGAAGAGAGTGCTGGACTGAACTTCTTCTCTTACTTGAGTGCCCCCAGTTTCACTAAACTTGACAGAGACTGCGTGTCATCTCTTGGTAGGAAAATATAAGCCTGGAAACCATACAGTACCTAGTTCCTGGAGGCAGTTGGCTTGTTTTTATGTCTTATATGTAAAAGTGGCTCGGGTTACTGTGTGTTGGGATGGCAGGTCCATTGAAAAGTCCCAGGGTCTTGTTATCTTCACCCAGAAACTCAGGTGAGTTCAACAACCACCACCACAAAACCACCCATTCAAAAATGGGCAAAGGACTCATAGAGACATTTCTTTTTTTTTTTTTTTTAAGATTTTATTTATTTATTTGACAGACAGAGATCACAAGTAGGCAGAGAGGCAGGCAGAGAGGGAGGGAGAAGCAGGCTCCCTGATGAGCAGAGGACCCTGGGATCATGACCTGAGCCACCCAGGTGCCCCTCATAGAGACATTTCTATAAAGATGATGTACAAAGGGCCAATAAAAAGATACTCAACGTCACTAATCATTAGGGAAATACAAATCTAAACCATAATGAGATATTGCTCCACCCCCATTTGAATGACTAGTATCAGAAACCAGAAAATAACAACTCTTGACGAGGGTTGTAGAGAAATTGGAATCATTGAGCCCTGCTGGTGGGGACACAAAAAGGTGCAGCTGCTGTGGGAAATAGGATGGCAATTCATCAAAAATAGAATGACCGGGGCCCCTGGGTGGCTCAGTGGGTTAAAGCCTCTACCTTCAGCTCCGGTCATGATTTCAGGGTCCTGGGATCGAACCCCACATCGGGCTCTCCGCTCTTCGGGGAACCTGCTTCCCCCCCACCTCTTCCTGCTTGTGATCTCTGTCTGTCAAATGAATAAAATCTTAAAAAAAAAAAAATAGAATGACCATATGACCCAGCAATTCCATTTCTGGGGATACACCCAAAAGAATGGAAAGCAGGTCTTGAAGAGATGTTTGTACACCCTCGCTCATAGCACCGTTATCCCTCATGGCCAAAAGGTGGAAGCCACCCAAGTACCCACTGATGGATGAGTGGAACTGTGGGTACACCTACAATGAATAGGATTCAGCCTTAAAAAGGAAGGGAATTCTGACACATTCTACAACAGGAATGAACCGCAGAGCCACTGCGCTGAGTGAAATAAGCCAGTCACAAAACAACAAATCCTACACGGTTCTACGTACATGAAGCACTTAATGTAGTCAAATTCATAGAAACAGGAAGTAGAATCGTGGTTGCTGGGGGCTGAGGGAAGGAGGCATGAAGAGTTACCCTTCAACGGGTACAGAATTTCCCTGTGACAAGATGAAAAGAATGCCAGAGGTGGACGATGGTGCGGGTTGCACAGCCACGTAAATGTCTTTAAGGCACAGCCACGTAAATGTCTTTTAAGTGTACGGAACTGTACACTTAAAAATGGTTAAGGTGGCAAATCCTCTGTTATGTAGATTTTACCACAGTTTTACCACAGTTTAAAAAAAAAAAAGGCTCAGCGGAAGGATGCCATCTTCTCTCAGCAATCCAGGCTGTTGAGAGAGATTAGAAATAAAAGGAGGAAAAAGACCAGCTGAGGTCTTTTTGAATTTATGTGCAACTAATTACAATTTTTTCTTTTAACAGAGTCATTTTTCTCTCAAGAAGGGAGCTGCAGCTTTGGGGATCGGAACCGACAGCGTGATTCTGATTAAATGCGATGAGAGGTGAGTACGCCTCTGTAGCCTCATTGGTTGGCAGTTTGCGACTCCACACATGTCTCTCTTAGTCCAGACGCAGGCGTTGACTGTGGGGTGGGGGGCAAACCTGCCTCCATCCAGGCTTGCTGTTCGCTGTTTCTTTTTCATGTGGGCTCTTGCTTGGAGTCCTGGGGTGTCATTCTTCAGTGCTGTGGAGCCTTCCATGGCCCTTGACTGAATTGGAACCTTTGTTAAATCAGTCACATTATCCTGCACCAAGATGGCGTGAGGGGGATTTCATCACCAGGGCCCTTAAGCAACAACCAGCGGTTTGAGCATCGATTTATGGAAGTGTCGTCATTCCAGGCACCGTGGATGGTGTGAGATGGATGGACCGATTACAGCAGGGGACAGTTTAGTAAACAGGAAGTAAATGATGCCCCCAGAAACTCGTCCACTTCGTGCCGGAACCAAAGAGCTCTCCTAGGGAAAATCCCTGCCTTACTGGGTGCCCAAACCTCATAGGTAGTCTGGAAATAGGTGTAGGATTAAAAAGCATTTCTAGCATATCCATGTAAATCTTCACTAGAACTGATAAAAAATTAATTTAATCTCTAAAGAATTGAGTAAGCAATTTCACCAAATTAGAAGGAAGCTAGTCAATTAGCCATCTATTTTTTATATGTATTTATTAGGCAGATTTTATATTTTCCCACCATGTCTTTAGACTCCAGAAAAGCATAAGGCGTCATCCTGTTTCCCTGACAGTCTGTGATCTAAGGGAGATGGGGTAGCACCTGAAGGACACAGTTACAGGGTTGAATCCTGTGGCACAGAACACCTCTTGTGTAGATTGCTAGAGCTTGGAAGGCTCCGCACAACAAGCAAGACTTGTGTTTTCAAAGGGTTTTCAAAGTGAGGGATGAACTGAATGGATGGAGGGGAAGTATGGGCGCCATCACAGAGGGCTGAACCCCACAAGCAAAGCCCCAGAAGTAGGAGTGAGCTTGTGGGGCTCCAGTGAGGAAAGCGGTGTGACCAGGGGTGTCCAGGAGGAAGAGCCATGGCAAGCCTGGTGGGCCATGTGGGAATTTGAAGGCTCGACAAAACACACGGTTAAGGACGCATCTCTCTCCAGCAGGGAAAATTACAAGGGATTGCCACTTTCTCATCCACACCTTTACATCTTGCCTGATCTGATTTGGTTGTTTGCAATGCACACGTGCTACTTTCACATTCAGAAAGAAAGAGGGATGTTTTATTTTTCCTTGTTGTGGTAGGAGGACGCTAAACTTAGCACTTGAGTTTGATGGATCAGTAACCAAGGTCACCTGAAAGCATTTTTTTTATCCGAGAAGGGCATGATGGAAACCATCCTTCAGGAAGCAAGGCAAAGAGAGACCTGGGTCAGTGAGGCCGGCTGTGAGGCTTTAGCATTAAGACAGATGGGAGATTAGAAAAATTGGAGCAAGGCTGGGACATTTTGAAGAAGGAACTGCTTGTGGGTTGTTTTTTTTTTGTTTGTTTGTTTTTTTACTATTTTATTTATTTATTTGACAAAGAGAGACACAGAAAAGGAAGAGAAGTAGTGGGAGTGGGAGAGGGAGACTAAGGCTTCCCACTGAGCAGGGAGACTTATGTTGGACTCAGATCCCAGGACCTTGGGATCCTGACCTGAGCCATCCCTGAGCAGACACTTAACCCCTGAGCCACCCAGGCGCCCTGGAACTGGTTATTTTTTAAGACTTTTCAAGACTTTTTAAGATTTTTTAAGACCAGTACTCTCAGATACTTAAGAACTGAGATTCAAGAAGAAAACTGGCACGGCCACAAAAATTGTTAACAGGGAATAAAGGTTTAGATGACTTTAATATTTGTTCTTAATCTGTAGCCAACTCTTATATGGAGCCTAGAATTCAGGGAAGGATGGTCTAGACAGGCCCTGTTAGCTGACCTACTCCATCTTCTAATCTAGTCTGGTTAGCAGGTGTTCTTGACCTTGAACCCCAGTGGGTGAGGGATGACCTGGGAGAACAGAGGGTACTCCTCACGCCACTCCTCGAGGCATCGATGTTGCTGCTTCTACTCCTGTGAGAATCAGGTTGTAACGATGCAAGCGGGCTTGGGATGCCAAGCCAGGTAGGCATTCCTGGGAACCAGAGGCCGGCCTGAGGACTACAGAAGGGCCTTCTGAGGGCAGAAGAGTGCTCCAAAGAGAAGTGCAGGCCTGAAAGAAGGAAAGGCAAGAAGGAAAAGCAAAAAAGTTGCAGGAACAGGGAGCGCAGATGAGGCTGCCAGGAACAGGTGCCGAAAGATGTCTGTTGTTCACCAACAGCAGAGAAAGGAGCAGAAAGCAGAGCATGCTGGGAAACCGGTGGGGTCTAAAATAAGTGGCTAGCCATGTCACCTGAAATTTTTAGGTCAAAGAATTTTATGTCACCAGTTTCAGAAGCCAGTAAAAACACTAAAACACAATGTTAAAACAATGACTGTTTTTGTTTTTGTTTTTGTTTTTCATAAAATACCTCACTTTCCCCTGCAAATCCTCCCCACCCCCCGCCCTACCCTGCCACATACATCCGTTGGGAGGGGACACAGGGAAGGGACTACCAGGCACCTAGGGCTATGGGGGCTTTTCCCCCTTCTGGTCATGAGCCTTGTGGAATGGGGAAGGGAGGAGAGAACAATACAGGAGGAAGAAGAAAGAGCAAAATGTAAAAGAAATAAAAGAGGGGAGAAATAAGACCCAGGAGGGGAAAAAAAAAATTGCAATGGAAGTACAAAGTGAAGCAAGGAGGAAGGAAGTACAGTTGAAAACATGGGGGGTCAGGGGCACTAACACCCACACCCCTTGCAATCAAAAATTCACATATAACCTTTGACTCCTCCAAAACTAAACTACTAAGAGCCTACTGTTGACCAGAAGCTTTACTGATAACATAACCAGTCAATTAACACATATTTTGTATGTTATGTATATTACATACTATATTCTTACAATAAAGTAAGCTAGAGAAAAGAAAATGTTATTAACAAAGTCATAAAGGAAATATATTTACTGTGTTGTGTTGTATTTATCAAAAAATAGCCATGTGTTGGGAGGGGCTCCGTTGGTGGAGCAGGTGACTCTTGATCTCAAGGCTGTGAGTTCGAGCCCCACAGTGGGGTTACTCAAAAATTTTAAAATCTTTAAAAAATAGTATCTGTGTGTAAATGGACCTGCACAGTTCAGACCTGGGAGCAAGAAGCACATGAGAGGTTTTAAAGAGGAATAATGATCATTTTTACCATCTAAACAGCAATACATGCCTTTAAAAAATACAAAATAACAGGGAAAAATTGTCTTTCCACCATCCAAAGATAATCAGTAGCACCAGACGGTGTCTAAATCTTGAAACTCTTTTTCCAAGCATAGAGGTTTGGGTTTTTTTCTTTTCCTATTTTAATTTACATATTTGTGACCATGTTTCTTTTTCTAACTAGACATGATAAGTATTTTCCCACATTATTGCAAACACACTCTACTACAAAACCTATGAGAAAGCATGATAGTGCGTTGTAGGGCAGTTTCCAGAGCTGGACTCTTTGACCCCCCTCTCCCTTCCTGTCTCAGCTCCAGTGCTAGCTTGGGTAAATCCCTCTGTGCATCTCCTATTTTCTTATCTGAAAAAAGGAAAAAATAAGGGCCCTGTTTCATAGGGTTGTTACAAAGATTAAATGTGTTCACAAGTGTAAAATACTAAAAATTATATGAAGTAGCAGAAAGCAAACACAAAGAATTACTCTGCCCCGTTCATTTCCCTGTTTCTGGTGTTGCTATTATAAATAATCCTTCTATCTTTCATTGAACATGTGTGCCCAGGCTTCTCCATTTAGCATTATTTCTTAGTATAATTGCTAACTTAAATTATATGAGTATTATTAAGGAAAGTGATACATCAGGCCATATTGGCTTTCAAAATGTTTCACCAATTTATTCTCCCAGCAGTATTGTATGAAAGCATGTTGGGGGAATAATTAAAGCTGTATTGGTAGCTACATGTAGTCTTTAATTCTGTGTTGATAATTCACATCATCTCTCTAGAATGGGCTTAACACTGAGAGTCTGGCCCAATAGCTTAAGTGAAATTGAAGTGTTTCCGGTCAGGGGCCAAGGAGCAGGCTTTGGATAGTCATCTGTAGCCACCATTCCAGTCAGAATCAGTTAAAGCATGCTTGGCAGCCATTTTGTTTTTATTAATCACGTCCTTATGAAAGTTAGATGTGTGGGTCAGAAAATCCCTTGAGGCCGACAAAGGGCATACCTGCCTTCTCATTTCTCCTAATGTACTTTGCAAAGTTCATCCAGGTTTTATAAACATAAACCTGGACCTGCTCTCAAAAACATTCATTTCTTTTTTTTTTATTAACATATAATATATTATTAGCCCCAAGGGTACAGGTCTGTGAATCGCCAGGTTTACACTTCACAGCCCTCACCATAGCACATCCCTTCCCCAATGTCCATAACCCAACCACCCTCTCCCTGCCTCCCTCCTCCCAGCAACCCTCAGTTTGTTTTGTGAGATTAAGAGTCTCTTATGGTTTGTCTTCCTTTCAATCCCATCCTGTTTCATTTATTCCTTTCCTTTCCCCAAACCCCTCACATTGCCTCTCAACTTCCTCATATCAGGGAGATCATATGATCATTGCCTTTCTCTGATTGACTTATTTTGCTAAGCATAATACCCTCTAGTTCCATCCATGTCATCACAAATGGCAAGATTTCATTTCTTTTGATGGCTGCATAGTATTCCATTGTATATATATACCACATCTTCTTAATCCGTTCATCTGTTGATGGACATCTAGGTTCTTTCCATAGTTTGGCTATTGTGGACATTGCTGCTATAAACATTCGAGTGCATGTGCCCCTTTGGATCACTACATTTGTATCTTTAGGGTAAAAACCCAGTAGTGCGATTGCTGGGTCATAGGGTAGCTCTATTTTCAACTTTTTGAGGAATCTCAATGCTGTTTTCCAGAGT